TGATTTAGACACACAAGTCACACCCCGCGTGAATAGACTCATACACACACGCGTACATGAGCACACACACACACACACACACACACACACACACACACACACACACACACACACACACACACACACACATGAATATATATACAATTAGATAGTTTTTGTCTCAACGTTGTCATATATAAACGTACGTAGATGTATGCCCATAGCCTAATGACGAGAAAATGCTTTTTTTACATTGGAAAGTTTTTAAGTATAATCTCTTCCTTGTCAAGGCACTTAATCCAACATTAACAACATAGATCGAAAAATCATAACTCAGTTAAAATCGTAACTTTGTCAGACTATGCATTTATTGATCCAACATATTCTTTCTTATAATTATTTATCTTTGTAGAAAAAACGCACACACAGGGATGTATATATGTATGTCATAATGTGTATGTATATATGTATGTCATAATGTGTATGTATGGTCTGAAACCATTACCTATGCTTGTTTTGATATTAAATATTAATTTACTAACTCTTAAGCTTAACAAATAAACACAACTGAAATTCGAAGCGTGCTTGCCAGAAACTCTTGCCGCCTTAATTGTAAGAGTGATTGCCCACTCAGATACAAAAAAAAAGCAGTAATAAAAAATTCCTAATGGGAGCACACAAGAATTCATCCTCTCGTCAACTTTTCCTTAAAGAAGTGAACAATGCAAAACAGACATTAGTTAATAATTGTTTTTCGAACCAACTCATCGACCACAAAATTAGATTATTTCTTTCCAAAGTAAATAATAACGATATTGAACACAGACAAAAAAGTAACATAAATATCTTCTACAAAAGCCAAATGCACGTCAGCTATAAACAAGATGAATCTTCACTTACGAATATCATGAAGAAATGCACTACCCCAGTTGACCCGAACAAAAACATTAAATTATCTATTACAAAAAATTTAAAACAGCTAACGTTATCCTTAAAAATAGCAACACACTTGTAAAATCAAAACTACAAAGAACGAACATGATTTACGAGTTCAAATGACCTTTAAAAAACTCTGTTCCTGATCATACCAAACTCATAAATATCCAGGTGACTTACGTTTCACTAATCCGACCACAGCTCTATTAGAACTAATTTAGACACACGCGAAAGCCTACCAGACTCCACCCGAAACATACGAGTAGAAAATACAAAGATAATAACATTATCCACATGCAAAAAAAGATAAAACATAATGGAAGCCTTAATAATAAGATGAAAATGCACACACTCAATAATATTAACTACGAACACGGCCAAAATTTGCTGAATGTGTTCGGAAAATAAAATATCTCTATAACTCTAGATGCATGAGCACAAGCCATACATCCAGTTAAAAAATAAAACCATCCATGATAATGGCTAAAAATATAGCCGAAAGCACTCGGAATTACAAAACATTGGGAGAGTTTCTACATAAACAAAAGAAAGCACTTCTTCGAACACAAGAAAAATTAAATAAAAAGGTTAATCGCAGTATTTTGTCTGTCGTCTTAAAGGAAACGTGTATAAAAGAGGGATTGCTAGCTAAATACACAATCTCTCTCTCTCTCTCTCTCTCTCTCTCTCTCTCTCTATATATATATATATATATTTTTATATATATATATATATATAATATATAAAAGATTGAATCTTATCTTCTCAGTTGATAGTTTCGCAGAAATATTATTTATTTATCAGTGGGTTAGGTAGTTAAAGTGAATTTATTTGTTTCTGCAAGATATAGCCATGTTATAAATTCGAATTGCAGTGGAAATTTAATCTTCATTCAATAAACGTTAAAAAGTTAAAAATCAGGAACCACGGCTTTTACAGATACGTTCATAAAGAATGTTTTCTTTCTTCTTAATCTTTATCAATAAGTTTGAGTGTGTGTGTGTGTTTTTTTTGTGTGTGTGTGTGTGTGAGAGAGAGAGAGAGAGAGAGAGAATTAGTATTGATATTTATTTATGCAGCTTTAATCGATTTCTAAAATCCTCGCCCAGTCATCAAAGAACAAATTATGTTTCAATAATAGAGAACGTTATCAAAATCCTAATAATCTTTTCAGAGTTGCACACTTTAAAAAAACTTCTACAGAATTGTTTTTCAGAGGTAAAAATGCATTAATGCCCAACAGACATAATAAAACTTTCGATTTCTTCATCGTTACTGATATCACATTTCAGATGATATATTCTTCGGCCTTTCTGGATTGTCAAAAATTCCCAGATTAAGTATTTTCAAAGATATTTTTCAGACATTTCTTTACGTCTTTGTTTTTATTAAAACATGACTTATACGGCGCTACCTCATAAAAAGGAATATTTTCTGTGACCTAAAGAATCAGAAATAGACCTAAGATATACGGTGTTTTTACCTTCGCAAGTTTTCAGAGCCAAGATGTTTACCGACTAAGCAATAGAATTTTGAAATATAGGTCAGATTAAGTTGAGTGCAATTCGAACGATCATGTGAGAACTTGTGTTGTTACCATCTTGTCATCCCGTTTGGGGCGGACGTAATATTGTGTGAAAGGATTTTTTGTTTTTAAAATAGCTTCATTCTGATTTTGAACAACACCAAAATATGACCATTAACTTTTTTTTCATTTGTTTATTAATGTCAATTTCAGGCAACAATGTTCATTCAATGATTTGTTTTCTCGTTATTCAACTTTTAATTTCTGCGTTAATTACTTGCTTTTGTTTTTTTAAATGAATTAATTTATGAATGAATATCTGTTGAAGAAATGACATTTTTAGTGAATGAGTTAGATTTAGAAATGGCAAAATATCAACGAACTTGGTAGCTGAAAAAGAAAAAATATTAATGGATAATTGTTGATTTATTGTTTGGTCTGTAAATACAAAATGAAAGAATAACAAATATCGCTAAATCCATTTAGAAAATAAACTAAAAGCAAAACAGTTTTGTCTGTAAAGCGTTATGATATATTATTCACTTATTGATTATTTATACCACTCGTAACAATTTGTTTACACTGGATATTAAATTCCCCTCATTCTTCTAGCAAAGTCTTTAATATTCTAATTGTTTTCAACAGTGTTGTAACTGGATTATAGCAACATTTTTCCTAATTTTACCAGTTTCTTCTTACGAAAGCTCTTCAGAATCGATTTCAGTTCTCTGATAACAACTGGCACTTCCGTCACTTTCATCTTCCATAACATTCTATCTTTTCTGGAAAGATCGATATACTTATCTATTTTTTCACTATTTTTCTAATCCGAAGCAATATAAAAAATTACCGACATTTTCTTTTGTTGGATCAAAACTTCCCGACCCCATCATATATTTTTATTGTACTATTTGTGGATGATTATATTTGGTGAATTTGAGATTTCATTTTATTTTTCATTTGACCTAAATTTGTTGTTTCCTGTCTTTTATATTTCTTGGACTTTGTATAAATATTGTTTATAGATTAGCATTCCTCAAGGAACGATATTTGCCAGAATCGAAAAATATTGGATTTTTATCGTTTTAGCCTTTTAAAACATTTTTGCAACTAAAAAAATGAAACCAACCCTTAATAAAATTAATTATGAACACTGCACAAATATTTTTAAAGGTTTACAGTAGTTTAAGATATCTAGGTTTTAATTAATAGTTTTAAATATTTTTTCTTTCATAAAATATTTAGACATTACAATAACTTAGTTACCTCCCCTGACGTATGCACGCGTGCCTACATGATAAAACTTAAAATTGCACAGCACATAACCATGGCGTTTTTCACTTTACACGTGAAAAAATTAATTTTTAAGATGAATATATATATATATATATATATATATATATATATATATATATATATATATATATATATATATATATATATTATATTTGTTAAATAATTTCGACATACTCTGTCTAATTTTGTTTTAATCCTTTCGAGTCCACGAATCAATTTCTTGGTATCCGTAGAAAACTGATTAAGAAAAATACCAATAAATATATATATATATATATATATATATATATATATATATATATATATATATATATATATATATATATATATATATATATTGACATTGAGGTGAGGTCAGCATCTACCAGTCTCTTGAAAGAGACTTTGTTTAGTGGCTTCAAGTACATCCATTAAAACGACAAATTCATGCAACTGAAAGATTTTCTAATTCCAAGACTTAATTATTGTTCTGACTGAAGACTGCAGAAAGAACTTTTTCGAGGGTAATTTTGAGGTGATCAGGAACATGATGACTGCGTGTCGGTGAACTGCCAAATGTTTAATTCGAAAACCCTCAGTTTTTAATAAAAAATAAAACTTGATTGGCCCACAGAGAAAGAATGTCATTTCGCATTTATTGAATAAGCAGTATTATTGCTATACAATATCGTAGTCAGATGACTTGTTGTGAAGTACTAATTAACCTACAATTAGGCCAAAAATTTGTAGTTCCCAATGAGGCTGGAATTCATAGCAGTTGTAATGATCTCCGATATAGATGTTGAAGATCCTAACAACTACAATGAATTCCAACCTCAGTGGGAGCTCTAGACTTGAAGGTCTGATGCCATACGCAGCGAAGATTAGTAGATCAGGGAGATGGCGAATGCGTCGACAGTTTCGTGATCACCATTGACCAGAGGTCATAGGTTTGAGTCAATGTTTCGCTGATCTGCCTTTTGGTTGACGGAAACACGAGCGAAATGTTAAAAGATTGCAAACAGAGGGCATTCCCCGAGGAATGGACACATGAACGACATTTTCGATTCCCGTTCGCTCGTCTTGATTTGTTTTGCATCTCTCTTGACACACATTTTCTATTAATATCATCGTTGCTTGAGATTCAGAAAGAGGCTGTCGTCGTTTTTCAGCTGCCATCTGTACTCATCTCTTGTCTTCTTCGTTTCTTTTAAACGCTTTCTTTTGTACTTCTTCTTCTGTCTTTCCTTTTCTTTCTTTTTAAATCTTTATCTCTAGTTTTTCCATGTTCATCCTTTATTCTCTGTTTTCTTCCGTTGATCACGTCTTTCTTTTCTGTTTTTCTTATTTCCTTTCTTTTCTTTGTCTCTTTTCCTTTTCATATTTATCTCTTTTTTTTTCTCTTGTTTTCTTATTTTTTTGCCTCTTTATTTTTTCTTCTTTGATTTTTTTCCATTTTCCTTCTCTCTTATTTTCCTATTCTTTTTCATTTTTATTTTTCATTTCTTTTTCGTTTCGCTTTATTTTTAATTCTTTATTTCCCATTTTCCCCCCAAATCATCTTATTCAATTTCTTAAACTGTTTCTGTTTGTTTCTCTGGCTGTCTGTTTGTTTGTCCGTCAGTTTCTTTCTTTCTTTCTTTCTTTCTTTCTTTCTTTCTTTCTTTCTTTCTTTCTTTCTTTCTTTCCTTCTTTCTTTCTTTCTTTCTTTCTTTTATGGCCTTTCATATTTTCTTTTTTCCCTTCCGCTGTCCATAAATTTAAAGTTTATTTCTTTTGTTTTCTTATACACCTCTGCCCTTTTATGCCTTCCTTCTTGTCTTTCCAAAGATTTTTTCCCTCCTCCCATGAGATCAGTTACAGCCAACGTCCAGCGGAGACGATTGATAATTAGTCGCGCTTTTGTCACACAAAAATATTTCGGAGGAAACCTCGTGATCTTTGTGCATCATTGAGGCGGGAAAAATCCCGGGGTTGGGGGTGGGGATCGAAAGAAGCTGATCTCGGAGAAGAGAGATTTAGTCAAGTAAAGGAAACTAAGAAAAAGAAAGAGTGAAAACAGAGGTGGCGGTGGGAGGTGTGTTGAAAAGAAATATTTTCGATAACGTGGTTAAAAACGAAGCGGAAAACATGAAACATCATGTGTGAGGAGAAAATAGAAATGCAAGGAAAGAGAGAGAAAGACAAGACAAGAGAAAAGAAATGAAAGAGAAAAGAAGAAAAATGAAAGAGAAGGAAAGAGTGAAAACATAAATGGAAATGTTCGGTTTAATAGTTTCTAACATGAATTTTCTGTTTACTTTATAAGAAAATAATTAAAATTTTGAATGAATATTATTACTATCTTATAATTCTTTTGTCCCTGCCTTAGTTATCACAGCCATTACGCCCTACCAATACATCATAAATACGGTCTATTTCGTTTTGATCGCGTTGAAAGACGGAAAAGAAGCTATTTGGTTTCAGTACGAAAAAAAGAAAGAAAATAAATAAAGAAAATATAGAAAGAAAGAAAAAGAGAAGACAGAAGTATTTAAAGTCTATCTCAGTGAAATGGAAAAACTTTAAATCTTTTCATTTGTACCCCCTTACTTCTTAAAATAACGACAACCATTGAGATTTATGATTGTTATTGCAATATTTTGTTAAAATTGTTAAGCTCAAATATTTAACGAGGCAATAAGAGAATTTCGACGGATATTTTATTGTCGGAGATCTCATCGTGAGCTTATCTAATAATTAACTGAAAAATTAAAATTCATCAGAGATTTTAAATAGAAAAACCGATAAAAATTTCCCGGATAGTCCTAGTTATTATTATTATTATTATTGAAACTGACATCCTTTCTGATTCTTAGATATTTCGGCCAGGTCAGATCTCTTGTTCACAGCTTTAAAGCCAACATGCTGTTGTTATTGTTGTTATTGTTGTTAATATTACTACCACTACTGCCTACATTCAACTCACGTTGAAAACATTGATTCTCGTTCCATCATCGAAGTTAAGCGGTGTTGAGTCCAGTCAATACTAAGATAGTGGACCGCTTGGGAACACCGGATACTGTAAGCAACTTTATACAACCCGGAATATGTTTCGGATTTGATAAGCCGTAAAAAAAAAAAAAATCAATCAATGCTTCTACTACCACTGCTACTACTATTACTAGTACTAGTCAGTAAAGTCGCCAATATTGTCAATGATTTCACAACGACTGCTCGGGAAAATTCTGCATGAATCAAATGTAAAATGTTCTAACAACAGTTTTGGAATTGATCTTTAATATCATTTCTTCATACTTGTCTTACAATTTTTTATTTTAATCTGAGCGTCTATTAAATTCTAGAGAGAAAATCAGAAAACGACAAAGACTGTTCGGTACCTTTTTATCGTATGGCAATTGTGGCAACAGAGCGGTCAAAATAAAAACAAAGAATAACTAATCAACATTCTACTGATAAAGAAGGAAGCAATTGAGTTGGTAGAATTGAACCTTGTAATTTGAGTTAACTGCCAACTTTTCCTCATTATCACAATTCTCAAACATGAATCCGAAGATTTGAGAGGAAACGTACAAGACTGGAAAAGGAAAGAGAAATGAATAGAGAAAACGAAAGAGAGGAGGAACAGGAGGAAAGAGAAGGCATGAAAGATGGAGAAAGAGAAGACGGGAGAGCTAGGAAAATAAAAAAATTCAGTTAGAGAAAGAGAGAGAGAGAGAGAGAAAGAGAGAGAGAAGAGCAATAGTAAACGAGAAAAGGAGAACGTGAGGAATAGATGATGGAAATGATAAGAAGACAAGAGAGAGGGAGAGAAAGTGAATAATAGTAGAGAGATGAGAAAAGAGTAAAGAGATGACACAAAAGTGGGTAAAGAGAAGAGGAGAGAAGGTGGAGAAGAAAAATGAATGAAAGTGAAGACAAGAGAGAGAGAAAAGGGAAGGCGTGAGAGAGAGAAACGAAGAGGGCAGGGAGAGATTTCATAGTCTCTAGATACTGCAGCTAGTAGTGAGTTCATTTCTCATCTGCAAACTGTTCTTTGTTCTTTTATTTTGATTACCTCACTTTCCTATTTAGCATGTTAAGTGAGAGTGAAAAATAAAAATAAACGGGCATAAGGACGTGAATATGTTGGTGAAGACACTAAGGTCTATCTATCTGCATCCATCATTACGAGATGGGAAGCTGAAAAATAGCTGTTCAAAGTTGAGCAGATCCGTCAGAGTGTGTCCAAATCATTTTTATAATTTTTATTCAGCAGATAATTATGGTTGCCAAGATTGACTATCTAATAATAATTTTGTTGAACCATTTTCGGTCCATTATCTAATATGTTATTTGATAGTTTAGTGGGAAATTTGGAGCGCTTTGCTTATTCAAAGCCACTGGAGTGCAAAAGTGCAAAAGTCGTGATTATCCATTCTGCGGGAATGTATTCGTTGGATACAGCTCTACACATGAAAGAAATACTAAAGTACAAAAGAAAATAGAAAATTGAAAAATGTCTTAAAAACACTTATGACTAATTAGTTTCTTGATATGAATCATAATGAAAATATTTCGCTCATTTTAGATCTTGAAGTAAATCAAATGTCCAGAAAATATTCTAGAAAAATCTTCGTCTTTCGAAAGAATCCTCGTCAAATATTAAACAAAACATAACAGTCTGGACAAGTTTGATTTTTAAAGAATAAATGTTGCAAAATATACATTAACTCCATACAATTTTAATCTATATAGCAATTTTGAATTGTTTCGATTGTTTTATAAAAATTCTTATTTAAAATGTTAATCTTATTTTTCTTTACAAAAAGATTTAATTGTATGAATAGTGAAAACATTACTGCAATTGCAATTTTGATTTTAATTAAATAAGAGGAACGGATGGGCAAGAGACACACACAGATAATGAAAGTAAACATTTGAGGTTGATGAGACCACGTTTGATACAAGGCGACGTTTTCTGAGCACTAAAGTGCAGAAGATCGTCGAAAGTTTTTCAAGATTTAAAATAAGAATTTAAAAGAGAAACTGATGAAGATTTAATTATAAAATGAACGGTCATCAACTGTAAAAAAAGTGCAAGCGACAGTTAAAATGAGAAGAAAAATAAGAGAAGGTCGAGAAAGAAGGAGGAGGAGGAGGAAACTCATCGAAGTGACAAGGGTAGAGAGTAAAGTAGAGTCTCTTAAACAATCAGTGTCTGCCAACAGAAAACTTGCTCCTTCTTCACCAAGCCTGGCTGATCACGACGATGACAGTCGTCGCAACTGTAATTACAATAACTTATCAAACAAAATTCAATTCCCTTCCACTAATTTCCTTTGTTGAGATTGCATTGGGATTTGCACGCAGTTGTCATTATATCTTTCTTCCCTTGGTTTCCCTCTCTTCTGTGGAGTTGTGAGTGAAAAGCCGATTTGCACTCTAAAAACAATGAATGTTCAGACACAGCAGTTTCATGACTATTGTTTGTATTTTTCTTATTTGTAAAATCCATTCATCCCGATATCTATTATTTTTAAATTAATAAATATGCGCACACATGTCTATTACAGTGACTCGTGAAGTCATAAAATACAGGGAATCGTGAAACATGACGTCAGGTATTGTTGGACATCAGAATTGCTTTATACTTGTTGCCACACAAATCGCTGTAATAAAGCAATGGAACTTAAGAAATTATATTTTAGAGCCTCTTTCAGATTTACCTGAAAAAATATCCGTATTCGTAATCCGGGCCTGAATATTTTAGATTCAAATATCTGAGCTTATCGTATCAGAAATCGAAAAGAAAAAAAGTTCCATTATGCTAATCTAAAGTAAAGATGGTTTGTCTGTTTGTCTTGAAAGTCAACATTTGCTGTTTATACAAACGCTACCCCTATTTTCCAAATCATTCTGCAAAATGCTATTCTGGGATCGCCATCAGCTGCCTCGTTACAAAAGTTTGGTTTTTATTTATCTATTCCTACAAGATGTCCGGATTTAAATTCAGAAGCGGTGAGTATCAGTTTTCATGTCTAAGGAAAGATCAGTTTCGAGACAATATGATTTATCAAAGACATGTGAACATTTCTGCTATGAATAGTTCACGTATAAGCTTAACATTTCTTAGTCTCTCTGTTGATTTTACTAGGAAACTGTCAGAGTTATTTCAAACTTGAATAGAACGAGATAGCTTTTTAAATAAAGAAACCTTAAAATGAAAGACTAAAACTTAGCTTAGATATTTGTGAAGTGAGTGGCCATGGTTAGATGTAAAATAAGTGACAGAACTCTCCAACAAACAGAATTGACAAAGTTTGCAATAAGAATTAACAAGAAAAAGAAAAGGGCAAAAAATAATATAAAGCAAACAATATATGCAAGGCAAATTAACAGTAATAAGGCAAAGAAACAGTAATATGGCAAAACTTCACAAACTAAGAATTGGAGTTGACACACAAAAACAAGTTCGGTCAAGCGACCGGACAGACCGGCACTGAGTCAGGTGAAAGCGAGAACTGGCCTGTTTTACTGGCGAAGAAAAATAGCTTCATTATTTAAGAATAACTGTGACGAAGTATTTGAAAAGAAAGTTACTGTTTAAAATTTGTTTACGATATGCTTCTGAACGACTCCAGCTGCATTCGTTAATGGTTTTTATAATTAAATTTAACCAAACAAAATAATTTTCCTCCTTGAAATTGGTAATCACCTCAGCATTTAGATCACAGATTGAAAGGATTTCGAAGGAGTGATAGCAATGTTAACATTTTAGTATATTTTAAAATCTAAGAAATGTAAATGTTCATTTTAAAAAACTTATTTTTGTATTGTGTTTTCATAAAAAGAAAAATAAATCACTCGATTTATTTTAAATGAAACAATTTATTTTATGGTTTTATTTGGTTA